CCCGCCACTGATGAATGTATATGCATGCAGTATGTAATGACGCTGCGCAGCGAAGGCCCATAATTTTGGAAGCGAACGCGGCTTTATTAGCCGAAGTGCGCATGAGCCAAAGGATTTACAACGGTGAAGATACACGCGCGCCGCGTTCGCGCCGCTCTGCTAATACTGCTTCTGCGCCATCGTTATGCAGTAGCCTCTATATATGTATGTATGTATGTATCAGGGCCCCAAAACATTAGAAGAAAGGGGGTGGCAATTTTTTGCAAGGCTAATTTAAATTTTTAAAAATTTTGAAAAATATTCTAATCATTTACAAGTTCAAACAAGTCACTTGCACATTTTTATAAACCATTTAAGTAACCTCAAAAATTTCGCGACCCATTCTCGGCCCCCCGCTCCCTCCCCGGACCGCCACTGGTGTGCATATATGTATGTACGTCCAATGTAAAATTTCCTATCTGCATTCATCCAAATTCACACACATTTTGGAACGGGGCAGCTATCCCTACTATTCGCTATCGATGAATATCTTCATTGTTTTTCCGCGAACTTTGCAAATAAATGTGCAGAGCACACACTTCTCATGTAAAGTGCTTATTCGATCTTTGATAATGTACGCCCCGGAGTGTATTGCCCCACATCTGAATTGTAAGTGTATCACCCCACATCTGAATTGTAAATCTAGAAATCAGATGAACTTAGCTGACCCGGGAAAACCACGTTCATAGAAAGGTGATTGGAGAATGGCAGCAAGAATACCTGAACAATAATGTTAGCAGAAAACAACGAGTTGGACTGACTCACTTATAGAATTGAGGTTTGCAGAATAGTAGGCATTCACTCGGAGAACGCTCGAATCGAATTCGTACCGATCCGGTAGCTTGAGCAAGTGCTTGAAACCATCTTCAACTGTCCATTTCATTGCAATCTCCAACATCTCGCTGTACGTAGATGCGTCATCTATTTCCAACTACAAACGTATTCAGCGATTACACAAGACAAAAA